TAAGACAACAACACCCTTGTCATGCAATTCATTAATACATATGCAAAAACACAATCAGGACGTGTCTGGTATTGTTCTTATTATGTGCCATCTGGAACAAACGGTGTCTCAAAAGAACAAACAAGCGGTCGTCGCCCCGTTTTTCTGGACCGTGCAGTGTCAGTGTCAGGTGTCCGACGGGCAGTGTCAACACTGTCAGGTGTGCCACACCGGTGTGACACCATATGTGGGTGTGTATCAAAAATAGGGAGACCCCCCTGGTCCTGGCTGGGTAGACCGGTCTATTTTCCTTCTTCCATGAGGTCTTTGGAAGGTCTCCCAATCTTAATACACACCCATGTGTCATTTTGTGGTGGCTTGGTGTCACTGGGTGACAGCAACGTAGTAACCTTGGCTCTGTTCATGCTCACAATTGGTGTGTTTTGTCCTTGAAATCTGATAAATCATGCTATAAGGTGTCCAAAAGGGGTTTGTGCAAACACATCTTGCACTTGTATAAAATTGTGCTTGAACTTGCAGTTGTTCCCCAAAATATCAGAACTTCTTCCACACGATCTGCTGGGTCCATTCACCTCTTTTGCTCAAATCTTGCTTCCCGTGCGCCTTCTAAGCCCACCCCCTGAACGGATCCGCCCGGTGTCCACCGGACACACCGGTGTCTGGAACGGCCTGTCCACAACTCGGGCGGCATAAAGGCTGCAGCTGCAAAGGGCTGCAGCACCTGGGCGCTCCGCCGGTCCCGCCGCGACGGGAGGCGGTCGGTTGAGGGGCTTTCACGGGGTCGGTCGGTCAAAAGCATGCGACATGGAAAGCTGTCGAAGGGAAGTCGGAAATGGAAGCAAACGCAATTATAACACTCTTTTTGAGGGGGTTCAGGTTCAAGAGGGACATTCTTGTTGAAGGTCTAGGCGACGTGTTTGTGATTTTCTGTAGGTAGCGGCAGCGGCAGTGAAACCGCGGAATGAAAACCGATTACAAACGCCTTGTTTATCTGTTAATGAACGAGGCCACAATTCCATGTCAAACCAACGGCTTCCAAGAAGGTGACGTCTTCCAGGATCTTTTAGGATAACATCTCCAGAGGAGCTATCGCTCAGGTGACTCAGGTATTCAAACAAATATCCTTGTGAGTCATAGGTCATAGATGGTAAAGTCATTGGGCTGGTTGTAGATAGCAAAACCCCAAACAAACCACAACATCTAGATCTAGATGTTCACTACTTCAAGTCTTGCTCTTCTTCCTTCACCTGCGAATCCATTGTATGTGCTTCATCTCCATGACGGCGCTATGTGCTTGCTCTTTGACCGTCCAGTGGAGTCGACCATGGTTCAACAGTGTTCATCTACCCCTGAGAGTCCAGTGAGGAACATGACGCATTTTACCCCAGTAACTGGCAATGGATTCAATATGACTTCTAGGTGGGATAGTTCATGAGTCAAGTTCCGAAAGTTCTGGGTACCATGACCATGGTAGGTTTGGATATTTGGATACACCACCAGTGGGCCCAAGGCCGCTCCAAGCACGCACCGCTCCATCGATGTTGCGTTTTCCGTTGAATCGGCCTGTGGCAGCTCGCGTGGCTGAAGGCTTAGAACCAAATCCTGGCGCTTTGGAAGCGGTTCCCAGTGGATTTGCTGGGTGGCGGGTGGGTGGGTTTGTTGGGTTGTTTGCTTGGCTGGCTTAGGTGGACTTGGAATGAGATGTGGCTTGATGTGAGGTTCTTTGCTCTGTGACGTTGGGAACTGAACAACAATAAATTGAGTCACTTCAAGGCATTGAAGTAGAACATGGGACCTGCGACCTGTAGTTATATTTGTTGACCCCCTCAGTTTCCCTGGAAAAGAAAGATGAGTTCCTTTTTCCACCAGTTCAGGTTTAGTGAGTAAACCCGTCCCCCAAAGAGGATTTAAGGGATCCACTTTTCCTGAGTAAGTGTTCACCCAGTACACAACAACAGTGGGCTTGTTGGACTGGTGACCTGTATGTAGCCTGGACATACGGCAATCTTCCACCAACTTGCTTGCCTGAAGCCCGCAATTTAGCAAGTGAGAGCCTTCAGAAGTGGGGGGTGCAAGACCAATCGTTCCTCCCTCACAGCTGGAACCAACGAATTCCAAGACTCCAAAGGCTATAACAACAATAGTTTCTTTGGCAATTCACATGCAACTACTGAGAGAATAAGTTTTGAAGTCAAACGTCAGCACGTCAGCCCACCATTTACACCTTTCCGAGGTTGCCAGCCAGATTTCTTCCATCAACATGATCTGCTGCAGATCATCTGCAGTTCTTTCGATTTGGGAAATCCCACCGCCCGGCCGCTCACCTCTGCCAACTTCTGATCCACAGGCTCCCCAGGGGCCGTGGAGGCCAGTTGCGAGGCCTCCCAGCGGTTTCAGCGCTGCGCAAGCGAAAGCGGCGGTTCTTGGAGGATGGCGGTGTCCCATGATTTTTTCATCTATAGGGTTTTTGGAGTGGAGGGATTCTCCTTCCAAAACAACCACTTTCGGGTACTTGAAAAAACATGACCCCATCCTTGAGCAAGCTGAAAGCCTTCCCATCTTGTCATCAGGGTCTGACTCCACGGACAAACCGGTAGCTTTGGCGTTCGCATCGGTTCGTCCGACACCACCAAAGCAAGCTGGTGGATCAGTCCGAACAAGCTGAAGAGCGGCCAGGTGCTTTGTTTAGACTTGGCCATGTATACCGGCCTCTCGACCCCAGCCTTTCTGGTGGAATCATCAAGCCGAGAACGGTGGTCTGGCAGCCAGTGGCTGAGTGGAGAAGAAGATGCGGGTTCTCAACACTGAGGATAAGGGTTCTGAACTCCCATGTCCTTCTTTGGAAGCTCCAAACCATCCAAGCCCAGCTCTAGTTTGGACCTTCGCCGCAGACGTCGCTCCGCGAATGCTGCGTGGAGGACAAGCACGTAGGACGACACGCGGCAAAAGGCGCAGCATGGTGTGGATCGGTGTGGATCAATGTGTGTGGGTGCCGTTCTTGGATGGTTTAAGGTGACCCACAAATCCAAAAGCTTGAAGACATGGTGGTAGCTTCAACAGATTCTGCTATGCTATACAGGATTGACTGCGTATAGTATTTTTACGTCTAATTTTCCGCAGGCATCCTGCCTGTTCATTTCTTGCTAATACTTTTTGACGACGACGATCAATGCCAGCGACTTGCACAGAAACTAGGGGGAACTCTGCTGGTGGAAAGTAGAGTGGGCCATGATGGTCCTCCCGTTCTTCTTATCTGCCCGGCTTCTGGATCGTAGCCATGGTTTGCTGAAGAGACAACCTGCAAGAAAACGCGCAGGGGAATTCCGAGAATTCCGTTTCTTTTCCTGCAAATTACCCACTAAAGGCCCTGCAATTGGTGGTTGCACCTGCAACAATTACAGATTTCTGATTTAGGTCATGCTATGGTCGTTGTGGCCCTGTAACTTCTTGCTTCTGTCGACGTCTCAAAAGAGTAGCCCTGCTGCTCACAGCTTTCAGCCAACGTTTGTCAAGCCGAGCTGATCGTGCTTTCCATATGCTTTCAGTATCATTGATATCATCATCCTTATAGACTTGTATAGAAAAGTCATTTACGCACTCGTAACACCCAGTTTACACCATGCTACTATACAGTACATGATAGAACTTGAGAAGAGTGGTGTTATGTGGTGTTGTACACAAATGCTCGTCCAAGGGTCTATCATTGGGGTCTATGTTCAGATTCTATGTTAATTGCAGATGTACACTTCCTTGCCAGGATTGAACCCTTTTGTGCTTTCTGCCGGCAAGTTTGTCCGCCTGACACTCGATTGAAAAATTATCCAACCAACCAGCCGGAATCCAACCTACCCACCAGCCAACCAACAGCCAGCCAACTAAGCCAACAGCCAGCCACCAGGCTTTTTTAACAGTTTTTGAACGCATGCACGCGTCCATCTAGGATCCAACGTGGATAAAATATCAAGGAATCCTTACCTTTGGCAAGGTCCCTAAGATCCCCATGAACTCGGGGATGGACGTCGCGGCATGGGGCGCACGTTGGACCGCGGCAAGCGTTGTATACCCCGAATTGGACGTGCTTTTGGACAGCTCCGGCCATGCAGGGGCGTATCTAGAGCTTGGGCCGTACCCTCCGTTCAACTTCAGGTGTGCCATCGGTGTACCATAATTAATTACTTGTAATGCCATGATGGAACACATCCAACTCATAGGGGGTTGGACAACATGCATCACCAAACTATAGTAGGTTCTTTGGCGGTTCCTTGAAACCCCTTAATGGGGTTAACGGTTAATGATATTAATTTATATGTGTTGTTTTCTTGTTGCGTTGCTTTGTTAAATAATGTTAAAATATACTTTCAGTTGCTTCATTTTTGTTGAGAAAATATTTGGGTGGATGCCTGTGACAGCCTGCCACCATAACCGCCAGCAACAGGGGTTCTTGATGCCATAAACACTTGCTAGGCTGTCTACAGCAAGCAGGATTTGCAATTCAAGGGACAAAAACGTCCTCATCTATCAGTCCCTCAACAGTAGCTATCCATTCTGTGGCAGGATGGATGAGTTCTCTAGCACCACTGCATCAGTTGGAGATCCTTTGGACGGAGAGCCACACAACACATACTCTACGCATCCCCTAAAGCTACACACAAGCTACACCAGCGTGTCTACACAAGCTCGCTACGTCCATCACATCACAAGCTACACCTGTTCGGGGAGAGGAGCACCGGACATCGAAGGGAGGGCAAAAAAACCAAGCGAATTCTCGGTCCTTTGGACATCGAAGGCTGCAGCGGGAGGGTGATGCGGCCTGGCCTCTGAGCTTTACGGGAGCTAGATGTCTTTTAAAAAAATAGACACACATTGCGTACACATTGCAAATACACACCGCCAGATCCTGTGAAGACATCTCATCATTTGGGCATGGACATGTTCTGATTCGCCACGCTGCTGATCCTTCAAAAGACGATGTGTTCACCACAAGATGCCTCAGACGTGCATCAAAGGTGCCTCAAGATGCCTCAGGACAAGCATGGGAAGAGAGATGAAGAGAGGATATACTGTGTGTGTAAGAAGTCAAAACTTGGTCAAACACCCCCCGAAGGTTTTATGGCTCCAGTTTGGCAGGTAGCAGCAACATTACTAAACGTCTTTCATTATATGACATTCAGCTTTGACACCTTTCTAATCCAACAGTACTAGGGGTGGACTTCACTGGACCCTGATAGAGCGATCGTCTGTGAGTCAATCCTGCTGCTTCTGAGCGAATCCCGTGGTTTGCACCCCTCTTTCTACGGACTCCTCCTGAAACAAATACCTTGGTCCAAACATCCATTCAAGCATAGGCATAGGTACTTCACCTGGCAGGTTATTTGGATACCAAGCTCCTGTAGAACGTGACCCTATATATGGGCGGACTAATTGTGCACCTTTAGATATGGACAATGCATCCCATATGCCTCGACAAACACGCCGCACACGTATATGTTTTTTGTGTTTAAAGTTTATCCATTCATGGAAGAAACAACTTCAACATACTTCAGCCCTTGTTCATGGCCTTTCTGCCCTTCAGCTTTGGCGTGGTGTCCAAAGACAGACCGCCAGTCCGCCTCGTTGACCCAAACGCCGAAAACCGAACGCCGCCGAGGCTCCCAAGCAATGCACCGCGTCGTGGGCCTCTCGGTGGCCTCGAGTGGGTAAATATGGAGAGCCCCAGTGACGGGGTCTCCTGATGTTCAAAACACTTCAAGCAAAACCAAACCAAACATGTTCTCAACCAAACCCGGTGACCGGAGACTCTCCCGATTGGACACTCACATAACTATGGTCGTCGTCGCCCCTGGGTGGACCAGGATCGTTTGGCTCGAATGGATCCTTTTCCTTTTCCCGGCTTTGCCAGCTTGGCGCCTGAGTGGTCAAAGGACTTGCTAAGAAAACTATAAAGAATACTCTCTTTTGCGAGGCGCGTCCTGTTAGAAGATCTTATTGGAAATGTCAAACAGCCGTGGATTCTTCTATCCTTAAAAGGTCCTAAAAAGTCCTCTCTTACGAACTCAACCCCTCAACCCCTCAACCCCAAACCCGGTGGCGAACACTCCCAGAGGTCCCAAGCAGACTGCAGCACCCAGCCTTGCCACCCAGCAGCCGAGCTTTGGCACGAGCGTGATTCACTGCAGTCACAGTGCGGGGTGAATCATCCCAAGAGACATTTATACAGTATATAGGACATCCATGGCATCCATGGGCCATGAAACAGTTACTTCAGGGATCTTCAGGGTCATTTTCGCTGGGGTATTTCACTCTTCCAGTCCGGATGGTCCTGCCAGTCCCATTCGGCCTCACAACGTGTTTTGGTGCACACATGTTTATTGATCAATGTTCCTTCCAGTAAGTCGTTTCTACCTCACTTGCAGAGGTCCTTCACACCAAAGTCGGCAATCTGACCTTCCCGTCTGAGCACTCTGATTCCAGAAAATCCATGGGCACTGGACTATATACATATGCCATACATTGACCCTCCAACCACCCCAATGGTGTGGTAAATATAGGACATATACAGTAGATGGTATGGCTCTACAAGCAGCTAATACCATTGTAAACCCACGGCTTCGGGACACGACCCATCGCAGTCATGGTATAACCAAAAACCCTTTCCCTACCACGACTGGAAAAAGCAAAGGAAAATCAACGGACCTGAACCCTTGAAAGTTCAATTACAATTGGAGTTTCTAGCCTTTTGGGCCGTTTGGAACACTTCAATGCCAAAGAATTCAAGTCAAACCTGGGAAAAAATCAAAAAACATCGACAAAATCAACGTATATATTGAGATATACGACGTATACTGAAATCAACGTATAGTGTCGGAGACCGACCTTTAAAGACACTGTCGCTGCACCTCGTCTGGTTTTGCTTCTCATCTGGCAGGGCATGGGAGACCTGCGTTGCAGCTCGGCACGTCGTGTTTTCGATGGCTTTCTTCTCTGGCGCTTACTGCGCTCGTGCGCTTCAACCGGCAAGAGTCTCCTTGGAGGTTTATGTCGAACTTGGCACAAAATGGGAAGATTTCACTCCGAAGATTTGGGACCTTTGCTATACATGAATTGCTCCTGATTTCAGGGGACGGCCAATCGATGGATTGGTGTCATCGACCATATGAAGCTTTGGTGTGCGTGTGGAGAATTCCAGCAAAGCAACGAAGGCAAGCGACGCAAGTTGCAAAACAAAGGGGCACATATTTCTGACTGACCTCGTAACAAGAAGCCCCATCTGCACAGGTCAGCATCCTGCGCCGGAAATCCAAAGCATGATCAACCCACCCTCCGCAGCTCTCTGGCACCTCCAAATGCCACAAATCAACACGAATGAACGCAAACAAAGAGAACAACTCCGCAAAACAAAACAAACAAATATTAAGATGTCTTTCCCATATTATATGGCATGTACCGAATGTACCGATTCTTCTTGGAGGATATTGGATGCCAAACACATACACCGGTTTCGGCTTGGACCCTGCACCGCTGAACCCGCGTCATCGCCTTGGCCAGCAGCGACTTGTCTTTGCATCCCGTGCCGAAGAGCGACCTCGTCGTCGCCGGATGCGACGCTGCCCAAGCCGGATGCCGATGGTGCAGCCCAAAGGCCCCGAGTGGAGCGAGTGGATGGTTGGGAAGTCGACTGCCAACTCTCTACAAGATACATACCCAGATGATCTCAGATAACTATCTGGCAAACTGTTCAACTTCAAGTACAAAAACCTGACCAAGCGATGGTCAAGGGTACTTGAAAGGTCATGAATCAAACACCGTGAAACATGACGATCTATAACTTTTAAATTTCCAGGCAGCCTTGGCAGTATCAATGAGAGAAGGAGACAAAGAGAGAGAGAGAGAGAGAGATTCCGAGAGTGTACAGAATTGAAAAAAACATGAAACAACTATGTAATGTGGCAATCGACCAGGGTGATTCGCATAACTGTCCCTGACCCGTAAGCTACTCTCAAGCTGCTAGTCTGCTAGTCCTTGACACCCAAAGCCACCCGTTCAGTTTTGCGAGCACCTACGAACAAGTTACAAGTGTCGTTCCTTCTCCAAGTTTATGCTTGGAACATGTTGAAACACTTTCCTTTTAGGGATTATCAAATTGTGAGAACAACACGATCTCATCCACCTCACTTCTCTCATTCTCTCACCTCTCTCACCCCCTCTCTCATCCCCTCGATCCTTTTTCCCAAACACATGCAGATCCCAGCAGCTTCAGGCTCGGGAAGCTGGGCGCCACTCGGATCTGCAGGACCGACGATCCCCGATCGGCGCGGTCGTGGCCGTGGCGGTCCCGGCGCGGTCGTGCCGGTCCAGGCACCGCGTCCAGGCACCGCCTGAGTGTCTGGGCCGAGGTGGACCTGGGAGGAATTCATGGTTCGTTTAGTGAAATTGAGTGTGTTTCAGGGAAGAAAGAACCGATTTGCATCAATGTACTGTGGACAGTTCTCTAGAACAAATATACTGATAATACCCAGCTTAAAAATAGTTAGCACACACACACAACAAACATATCCCAGATGTTCCATGTATGCCATATACGCCTACATTGGGGTGGTTCCGCCCACCCCCACCGGCCCCCACCCCCTTCCCCACCTGGCTCCGCTTCCGGTCGGTGGCGCGGTTCACGCGCAAGTTGCTCAAGCGGAACATCGTGGACTGCGCGGTTCACGCGCAGCAGCGGGATCTGAACTTGTCATCCATATGAGTCCACATGCCGTTAAGAGCCATGTGGGAAAATTTTAGGAAAAACATCCAAGGTCCAAGAAATGTATGGCCGGCAGAAAAATTGTTGATAACTTGACTTTGATTGCACGTCTCTGGGCTCTCACTAAACTGACTCATTTGGCTATAATTGGACGTGATTTCCTCGCCATCGGATGGGCAAGCACCTCGCCATCTGGATTCTTCAGATTCCAGGAAGCCTCCTGGATCCCACATCCTCTTCGACGCACGTGGGGTTCGCACCGTTTCAACCCTTTCATCTGAGGTTCCCTGACACGAACGATGTACTCCTTCAGCATGTCAACCTCGGTCCGGAGAAGTCGATCGTAATTACGCCCGAGGCCCGGCCGTCCCGGCCACATCGGGGTGGTGGAATTCATCTCTATCAAACTCAGCAGCGGGTGGAGATGGGTGGAGGTCCTGTTTGGAAAGATAGAGAGGGGTCGATTTGGTGGCAGCCCTATATACGGATACCTCCCCTCTATGAATCAAGAAACCCGTAAAAGGCTGGCCATCCAGGATGTGGACTCGCTGGGCTTTCTTGGGGTGGTGCGTATCGAAGTTCGGACCAGTCTAACACACCTGGGAGGGTCTGGGAAGTTGGGCATTTTCTCTCGACATCCTTCGGACCGGTCTCTCACCAGGTCGATCTTTCCAACCCCACCCAAACGGCCAACGGCATACCGTTTGGGCCATGTTGCTTCGTCTTCCCTTCGACCTGAAAGCCTTGCTCATCCCAGGTGCGACCACTCGCGGCATCCGCTGTTTGGCCTCCCCCCCGATGTAGAGGACCTGCGGAGAAGCCGGAGGGCGGGGGGTCTATTTCGGGTCTATCTCTCTCTCTCTCTATCCAGCTCCGGCATGAGCTGGGATTTCTGGTCTAGAAAGGGCATGTATGGTGGACACTGGAAGCTGCAATAGCAACAGCTTCTGGAATTCTGATGCATCTAAGAATCTAGCCATCCAGCACCGAACAGATTTTGTTCGATGTTTCACACTGGTCCACCACATCAGAGTCTATATTCGATGTGTCTCCAGTCTTCCCCACATTTGCTTGGAGTGTTCGGACCGGGACCGGCCCCTTTCGCACTTCCCACACCTCCACCTGCGCTGTCTCCGCCCTCACGGTGAAGGGCTCCGTCTCACCAAGCAAGCTGCCTCGGTGAATGATGTCCTTTTGGGAATACTACGAGAGATGACAAGATGATATTCAGATATGTCAGTCAGAAGTTTGGTATAAGTTGTTTCAAACGTCCACCAGCAAGCAAGGTAGAAAAAATGAAAGAACACCAGAAGTTTTTTGGGGCACTAGGTGGAAGCAAAACCGGGCCATACCGCGCAGGTACATATATGATGAATATATATATATATATAATTTCCCTAGGCTTCGAAGACCATTTTAACAAAGGTCTTTCACATGAGACCTATTAATCCTGGTGAAACGCCTTTTCGATACCTGAGGCCTGTCTTGCAGGAGCCAATCTGGGCTCAACTTTATTCAAGAATGGTATGAGGAACCTGTTCATGCCATGTGTCTCATGCCACTGCCCCATGCAAATCCAAGACACCGGCATACTTTTCACTTTGGCAAAGGTAGGTGTGAAACGTTCTCAGCAGTGCGGTGCAGCCCTGCCATGCGGACCACGAATCTGAGAGATTATCATGAAGAAAGCCTTTGGGATGCGTGCAGGGCTTAAGCTGTATTTCATTGGAAATAAACTTGCATGCGCATGTACTTCTTCCCCACAGTGCAAACGAAGCTCAGCTCGAAGGTCAGTTGGAACAATCTTGTTGGGAGGACACGGTGGATATAGGTGCGCACCCTGCTGCATTCCAAGGCATATGCGCATGTGCATGTGCATATGATACATTGCTTATGTTCGAGTTGCTTTTTTTCGCATGTCGATATCACTGATGAATCCACCTGCTATCCGGCCAGGAGTTTTTTTTGGCTGGGACTGTGCAAGGACCTATCACAGTTGTAGAAAAACATGTCATCAACTGCAAGTGAATACTCACCTGATCTGGAATAAGCATGTGGCCATCCAATATAATAATATTATTGTCTTTGAGATCACCGGCATTGAACACAAGCTTAGATCTTGACCAATTTAGCTTTGACTGCTGTCACCATGGGCGGCAGTGATGCTTCCACTGCACGCACAGAGCTGGTCAAGGTGGGCACCACCAAAGTCGTGTTCATGTTTGGTGCACAAAAAGAACAAGCTGGAAGCACATGCACACATATCCACCAAAAAAAATCGTGCACATGTACACGCAGGCGTTTCTGGTGGACATCCTGGAAGATAATGATTTCTTGGCACGCAGAAGAAAGTTGCTGCGGCAGAGGGCAGGGCTGAGCGCGAAAGATATCAAACAGGCTTTGGCCCCAGCTTGATCTAGCTTTCAAGATCTCATACCTCTGGCATGAATTGATCACGATCTTTTTAATGTTGCACACGTACTATGAAAAAAACAAAAACATATAGCATATTCTTTCTGGTATGACATGTAAATTAGTTGAGAACATTGCAAAGCCATGCATTAGATCGATGTTTACAATTGCAAATTTGATCAAAGAAGTTGGCTTTGTGACCAGTCATGCTGTGTTTTTTCATACACGGAATAATCCCTCTTGATTCAGGTGCCCAAGTGGCAATTTCTCATCGTCAACAAGAACCATGTCAGCTCGCGTGAGGCCAGGTGAAATCTAATTAGCATATCTTGGTCAGTCATCGGCACATGCTACGTCTATTTGTTTGGTTTGAGTATGTTTGAGTGTTTGCAATTTTGTAAATCAGGCCTGGGCCTGTGATTTGATCTGTCAGAGTTTGTTGGTATGACCCCAACCCGGACCCGGGCCAGGTGCAGGACGACTTGAACTTCACGTTCGTTTTGCAGTACTTGGCAAGCTTCGCGCATGACCTACCACACCATCTGGAACTCAAGGTTTCTTCATGCTTTTATAACTCTCATATATCGTATGTGATTGATGTCACAATGTCAGCATGATGCCCCCACATGAACTGCGCATGCAGCGTTGAAATTTAGAATTGGCCTGGCATGTGTGTGTGGATGATCATGAATGGTTCCATGCCATGCAAAGAGTTTTGCGGACTACACTCGAGCTGATCAGGACGCCCTTTCTTGGTGCTCCCTACGCTTCAAACTGAATCCATTCAAGGAGGTTGCACTACATGAGGCCATGCGGTGGAAATCAAGTCTAGTAATTGTGACAGTTTCTACTTACTAGTAATGGTGTTCGTGGTTGGAGCCTGTGCCTGGTTTGCACTGCGTTTCCTAGCTTGCAGGCATGGGCACACACTGAGTCTGGGATCATTAGAGGCTTCATGTCATATTGCATGGCGCGCTTCCAACGAACACGCTCAAGCAGGATGGGCGTCTGGTCCACAAAGCTAGCATATACGCTATTAGAATCGAAGAACATTTAACACATGCACCAGTTACAATGGTTGTTGGATCCTGATTGTGATACAATGGTTGGGTTAAGCTGACATGATACAAAGGACCGTTTTCATTTCCAATCTGGTTTGCAGGAGGGGGCATACCCGAATGGCGCAAATCAAGGAAGTGATCTATACCAAGTTGGAGGACTCGACCACCATTCATGATACTTCAATGCGCTACAGATTAATTAATTGTCAGATCAACCAACAAGAATATCGATACAAAAATCCCAGTAATTACAGCAATGCCAGTGAGATCATGTGAATTGAAGCCCAGCGCACTAGCTAGTCTGGCAAATCCTGATCAATGTCCCTGCAAGCTTGTCAATCGAGGCCAGCATTGTAAACACCAATCAAACCGCTAAGGTCTTGTTTCGTTGGGGGTTACAAGCCATCCTTCCTGTCCCCGATAGACTCACGCCAATGCTTCACTCATTGCTGCAGGAACATGGGATGCTTTCACCTTCCGGAGGGAAAACACCGTCGCGGGGTCGTGGAGCAGGACGGCTCAAGCAAGAGGAGGCCAGGATTTTTGGGATTGGTGAAGTCCTAGGGCTATGAGCTTCTGAATCATTGAACTCGTACGACTCCAAGTACAAATGTGTTCACAAGCAAAATAGATTAATCGATTTCATACATGATATTATAATGCTAATACAATAGTCGACCGGTGTCGATTTCAAACGTTCATTCCTGATGTCAAAAATGGATTGAATATAAGCAACGAATATGCCATGTGTGCATGCGCGTTTTCCCATGAGGCTGCTAAGAGAGCCGTGGCCATTGACAACGTCGAGACTCAAATGATGCCGTCTCCTGTTTCAAAGCTTCAACTGACTTCTCCATCCCCGAAGGCTTTGGTGAATGAATCCGCCATGGATGTGGACGATTCAGATTTTGGTGAAGAAAATCCAGAGGAAGAAGACCCAACCCAGGATGAATGTGTTGAGCCAATTGAATGTCACCCTCCTACAACCTTTGTGCTGGACAGTGGTGATGAGACAATTCTGTCTCCTCGAAAAGGGAACCGCCGAGATCCGGAGTTGCCTGCAGAAGCGAAGAGCACGGCCATGGTGCTGCAGCCACCTTCTGCGGAGGCAGGCGCCAGTGTTGCCAGCCCAGCTGACTTACTCAATGAGTCCCAGGTGCCACCGAATGCACCACTAGACCCTTCTCAAAAACTGGACACTGCGCACCCTGAACTTCCTGCGGAAGTTGAAGAAATTATTGAGTCGGATGATGAAGCTAAAACTACGAAAGGAGTGTTTAAGGACTGCAATCCGTTTGAGATCTTTTGAGGGGATCATGTCCTATGTTCATTAATTGAGGTGGTTAGCGGGTAGATATCTCGAGACCACATACTAATTCAGTTTCATCAATTTATAAATTTCAGTTGATCCAGGAATGCAAAACATTCTGATCATGTGATATCGTGTTATGATGCGCTGGCACGCTAGATCTCTTGATTTGTGGTCTATGTCATATCATTATTGCTGCAACTTCCTGATGCAGGACCGGAAACCATTGACTCCACAGCTCGAGATTCCTCAATCCCTACAAGACCAAGCTGAAATGCAGTTGAAGTTCTTGGAGGACCCTGGAAGCTCCAGCGCTGAAGCCCAAGCTGAAATGGTGAAGGCCCCCCCTGTGTGTCGACTTGTGATATTCGTAGAAGGGACCAAATATTTCAGTGCACTCTCTCATGTGCAAAAGCACTGTACAATGTATCCCTCGACATGCAGGCTCCTGCGCGCAGTTGATATGATGGTTCAATACCGAAGACCGGTTGCCCTAGATCATTCATGCATGCATATTTAATTTATATTATACACCTTCATCAGCCAGTCTATTGACCAGTAGGTCCAAAGCCCGTGATTGAATCCAACCCCTACGTCTCGCATCGCGCTCGAGGCCCAAGCAGCTCTTCGTCAAATTGCCAAGGAAGCCAGTGAAGATCCTGACAAGGAATTAGCACAGAGCCTTGAGGATGCGGAGGCCCACGAGGCCAAGACAGAAGCAAGGGCAAAGGGTCGAGGTAGAGGGCGAGGAAGAGGGCGTGGGAGAAAGAAGAAGTGTGATCAAGATCAAAACGATGAAGCAAAGAGAGCAAAGGTTGCAAAGGGAGAGGAGGCCATGGAGATCGAGAGCAACGAGGGCAATGAAGAAGAGCAGAAGGCGCGCGCTGCAGAGATCGAGAAGGAGAAGGCAGAGAAGGAGAAGGCAGAGAAGGAGAAGGCAGCGAAGGCAGAGAAGGAGAAGGCAGAGAAGGAGAAGGGAGAGAAGAAGAAGGCA